CATAAGAAAAGGAAAAACCGTGACATAAAGATTTTCACAAAAAACACTAGCAATCTTACCGGACGCAAAAAAGAATTGACATTAAAGCCAAAAGATGAGATTGCAAAAAAATATAATACAGTATCTAGGTTTCGTTATTTAAATTTCTAGGTTTCATAAGTTTAAATTCTATGTTGTATTTTTTTAGGTGTGTTGTAATTTCTTTTTTAGTTTAACAAAATTTTAGTTTTTATAAAAATAATTTGTTTAAAATGTTTATTTTTTAATTAGTTTTTTTTTTTTATAAAAAAAACATAACAAACGTAACAACATACACCTTCTAAATAGTAAAATTTTGATTCAGTATGACAAATCCTACGCCGACGCTTATGATGTCATAGACTATAACAAATATAACACGACTCGTGCTATAGCTAACCTAAGCTATTGCCATCACAAATAGAATCTCAAATGTGGCCCAAACCAAACGTGTGACTCATCCATGATACCACATGTAACAATAAGCAAAAAGGAGTATTATTTATTATTTTATAAATCGATAGACAGGCCCGGCCATAGCCTGTTCAACTTTAACCTATGCAACTAGCCAACTGTGCTGGTCCCATTCAAGTATAGGGCCCAACCCAAAGTCTGTTACTTGCTTCAGTTCAGCGTCCTTGTAGAATATTAAATAAAAGAAGGAAGCTTTCATTGGAAAGCTGATGAGCTTTTTAAACACAATCAGATAAGCATATATATTTTGAGTTGTGATAAGAATCAGTAACATTAAGACAGGATAGCGATTACAAATATGCTACAACACACCAGAGAGAGAGAGAGAGAGAGAGAGAGAGAGAGAGAGAGAGAGAGAGAGAGAGAGAGAGAGAGAGAGAGGCACCAACGAGAAACTAAGTTGGCGTTTAGCCAGATTTGGGAAGATTTTCCGGTGATCAAAAGGTAATATTCCGACATCGATCATTCTTAATTCTTAAGTTTTTTAATTGATTAAATTAGATGCGTTAATAGCATATCAGTTTCAATTTTTAAAGCAAGCAACAATTAAACTTTTTTTTTTTTTATGATTTTTAAAGTTTGTAGTGTAGTGTTTAAGCGTTGGGAAATTTGTCTAAGTACAGAAAACTACTATACCTAACGTTTACAAAAAATTGCTTTTCCTTTTTGAAAGTCTATATAGGGAAAATGACTTATATGGGTAACTATGTTTCAAAATCGTTCAAAAAATATCATTCAAGTTTGGTGTGTCCAAAAAACACCATCCAAGTAAAGCATTTGTACAAAAAACACCAACGAAGTACATTCTTTGTTCAAATTTGACATTTGGTAACCGGCAATTACCGGTAAAAAATAAGTAAAAGAAAAAAACAATAGGAAA